ACACAGCCCAGTGATTCTTAAATTTCAGTATAAATCAGAATCATCAAAACACAGATTGTCGGGTGCCAACTCCAGACGATCGGACTCATTAAATCTGGGGATAGTCCCAAACAATTGCAGTTCTAACTAGTCCTGGTGATCCTGACGCTGTTGGCCTTGGGTTCAGTTCTTGGGAACAGGGGTAACTTGTCTAAATGACCTCTCTGCGTGCCAGGTATTGTCTAAACTGCTTCCCAAAGGTTTATTATTATTTTTTAAAATGTGAGTCTTATTGTATCTCCTCTTTACACACTTTTTGCTGTCTTCATGTCATATTTGCACTCAAACATGTGAAACCTTGGCATTTGGATTCTGTTTATACCATATAGTATATTTAGTATTTTTTTTGCCAAAGTGGTTAAGAATTTTTTCCATTGTCCAGGGATGTTTGTCAGTCTGCTCTTAAAATCTCAACCATCATCCAATTCATAATTCCTGTTTTACTGTTTCCTTTCTTCATTACCCATACCTTTAAAAGATTTATCTCCTTTCTGATATTAGGAAGAAGATTGAGATACGTACTTATATCTGGGTATCTCACCGATAGTAACTAACTTTTGTATTTTAAGTTATTGCCAGATACTATCATCTGCTCTGGACTCTAGCAATGGGTGTTTGTAAACACCTGTTAGGTGTTTTTTATGTCGTAGTAAGTAACAGATACCTACCTGGTCATACTGTACAGTTTTTTTTTTTTTTTTTTTTTTTCACAGCTTTTAGGAGGAGAAAGTGGCTTGTCTCCTTTACTCCGAAGAGGCTATATTCAAACTCACTACCCAGACCAACCCACTAGATTCTGTGAGGAGATAAAGATAAGCCATTGCTACTCAAAGTGTGATAGGATGCAGTAGATCTGTGCACTTATGAAGCTACTGAGGAATGCAGATCTTTCATTCTCCCTCATTAGCAACACCTAGAATATGCATTTCAATAAGATTCTCAGGTGATAAAGTTATGGAGCACTGACTGAGGCCTCTGGGACTCTTAGAGGTACTCAACTAACCTGTGACCATTCTCTCTGTTCATTTACATTAATATGAATTTCTGGTTTTTGTGACAGTCATTTTCTTTATCTGTAAAATGGGAACAGTTTTAGTGTCAGGGTCTAACCCTGGACCCCAAACTGTTAAGCAATGAACACTAAAAAAGAGGTTCAATTCTCTTTTTTTATGAAAGCAAAGAAAGTATATTCTTAGTTTGAAATTTCTTTTATAGAATTAATGTACATAGAGAAGAAAGGATATTAATTTCCTTATGAAACCACCACAATAACCCACCCTTTCATGGGCAAATAAATACCCAGCTAAGCAGGCTTGGCTTGTACTGGGGCTGCTGAGGCCGAATTGTTTGGCTAATGTGCCTTTTTGTGGGAAACTATAAGCAAGAGATTAGGCAGGTGACAGCTCTGGGACTAAAGGAGAATACACCAGCAATATACTATGAAGCGAGGACAATGGCTCTTGTCACTGCCAAGAACTGAAAACAGCTCCTTCATCCCCACCCCCACCCCACCCTGTATGTCTCTTAATCTGTGTTTCTCTTCCAAGTGCCTATCTCACACTCTCCTCTAAGTTACTCCAGCTGGAGCACCTGGCTTCTATGTTTGATAGTCCACTCAACTCCACCATCATCAGCATCTTTCCCACTCAGAGTCCTGATCAAGGCATATTTGGATTTGTAATCCAAGATGGCTCTGTGTCAATGGGGGCGGGGAGATTGGTGACTGTTCAATATGTAGTGCTTCTCCCTTTTTCATGGAGAATGGCTCTGTTACTATACTGCCTTGATGGATTATGATGTGTGTGAAATGTCCAGCCTAGCATGTTGAAAGTAGGGGACAGTTTGCAATGATAGCCATTATAAGTCTGCATTTTCAATTTCTTGGATTTTATTAGCCCTTTGGAAATCTTCATAAATAAGTCACCTACCTCCCTTAACACAAACTAATCTGCATCAAGGGCGTTGGGGCCTAAAAGTTTAATAAGAAATATCAGATGTTTATGCTTATAGCTCTAAGCTGGCAGAATATATTAAGGATGTGAAGATACCACAGATCTCTTACATTGCTGGTAGGGGTGTAAAATGGTACACTCATTATAAAATCTGTTATAAAGTTAAAAAAAATAAAAAAGAAAACTCTAGCTAGCAGTTGAATATGAGTAAGGACTCAGTTGAATCCAGTAACACTATTATAACTGTATATGATTGACATCTATATTTGTTTCACTCAACAGCAGTTAAATACACATTCACCAAGAGAGGTCACATTCTTAGCCATAAAACACACTTCAGCAAGTTTAAAAAAAAAATGGAAATCATGTAATGTTTGCTCTCAGACCACAGTGGGCTTAAAGTAGAGATCAGTAACAGAAATATACCAGGACAATGCCTAAATAAATGTGCAAATTAAACACACTTCTAAATAACATATAAGTCACAGAAGAAATCTCAAACTTAAAAATAGTTTGAATAGAATAAAAATGAAAGCAGAGATTACCAAATGCAGGGAGAATAATGCTAGAGGGGAATGAAAAGCAGTAAGTACATCTGGTTGGAAGAAAGCTCTAAAAGCATTTGTAGGGGAGTGAAAACATGCCTTTGCAAAATAAGTCTTTTTGGCAAAAGCATGATCTCCGGGTATTCTGATGGCTGGAGGAAGTTTCTGTTGCTTTTTGGATGTAAACCTCTCTCTGTAAGGACCTCTGCTAGGAAGACTAAACAGTTTTATCTTTTTGGTGGAAGAAGCAGAACTTAAAGTCAACCATGTGACTCACCTTAAATTCTGTCTAAATTAGATAAGACAGAATGTTGAAATGGAAGGGGTGGAAGAGGGAAGAACCCCTAAAGTGTTGCGAGCAAAGTGCTGTCAGGATTTGCAGATTTAAGTTCAACTTAACGTAAAGCTACACTTTACAGTAAGCATTGGCATGGGTAAAAGATCGAGTGAAAAAGAAAAAGAAAGCCCAGAAATAGATCCACGGAGTCAACTGATCTTTACTAAAGAAACAAAGACAACACAATAGAGCAAAGGTAGTCTTCTCCACAAATGGGCTGATACACTAGACATCGACATTACAAAGGAGTAATCCAGACACAAATGTTACAATCGTCACAAAAACTAAATCAAAGTGGATCATAGACCTAAGTATAAAATACAGAATTATGATTGCCCACCCCCTCACCCCCAGTGGCCCAATGGGTTTAAACACAGCACTATGATGCTAGTGCAGTCACTGTAGCACTGGTTCGATCCCTGGCCAGGGGGTGACCCAAGGGTGCAGCAGACCTCTCCAGACCTGCCTGTTGCTCCTCTCAGCAGTGTATTTCTTCCTGCTCTGCTCCCCACTCTTATCTCTGGTGAAACCTCTCATCCCCATGTCTCTGGCCTGTACTCCTGCTCTGTATATATAAATAAATAAATATTTTAAAAAATTATGAAACTCCTAGAAGATGCGACTAGAGGAAACCTAGTGGACCTTGAAGCTAAATCACCAGATTGGGAGAAAATATCAGTAAAAAGCACCTCTGATAAAGGATTATTATCTAATATATGTCATTAACTTAACAATAAAATAACCTGTTTGAAAAAATGGTCTAAACCCTTAGAAAATATCTTATCAAAGAAGATAGGGAAATATCTTCTATGATACAAAGATGATGATGAATACATGTCATCCAGAAAGACAAACTAAAACAACAATGAGATACCAGTCTATGACTATTAGGATGGCCAACGTCTAGAACACTGGCACCATTCACACTGCTCAGAATGTGGAGCAACAGGCATTCTCATTTGTGGCTGGGCATTCTCATTCATGGCTGGTGGGAATGCATCAGAAGATGGCAACTTTGGAAGATGGTTCAGCAGTTGCTGACAAAACTAATCATGCTTTAACTGTGGTCTCACAGTTCTTATTTAGTCAAGTGAGTTGAAAGTTCATGTTCACACAAAACTTGTACATGAACATATATAGCCACTTTGTTCATAATTGCCAACACTTGGAAATAACTCAGATGTCCTTTGGTAGATTGAGTGGGTAAGCTATGGTACATGTAGACAGTTGACTTAGCAGAAATTAGTCAGCAATTCATGAAGAAATGTAAATGTGTATTTCTAAGGGAATAAACCAATAATTCACTTCAATTACATGATGGCATTTTGACAAATACAAAACTATGGAGACTCTAAAAAAGTCAATGACCGCCATGGGTTAAGGGTCAAAAGGGGATGAATAGGCTAAGCAGAGAGTATTTTTAAGACTTTGAAAGTACTCTGTATGAGAGAGATCTTATCATACATTTGTCCAAACTCAAAGACTGGATAGCACTAACAGTGAATCCTAATTTTAAACTTTGGACTTTTGGTGTTAAATATCTGTCAGTGTGGGGTCATTTATAGTAACAAATATGCCACTCTGGTGAGGGATTTTGATGGGATAGAGGAGCTGTACCTATGTGGGGGTTGTGCCTATGTAGACTCTGTATGAGATGTCCATACTTCATTTTCAGTTTTGCTGAGAACCTAAAATTTTCCTAGATACAAAATTACTTTTTTTTTCAAGTTGATCTTACAGAACCTTGTGCCTGAGTTACCCTTCAATTTCAAAATATGTTTTCTTCTGTATAACACATCCCATCTTTTCCTGGTTTGTCCTTTCTCACTGCTATCTAGACAGAATAGAGTGAAGGAAAGCCAATTATGACCTAAGCAATAATTAGGGATCTAGAACTCTGCCAAAAGAAGTCAACTCAAGGCAAGAGGAAGAACATTTGTTTTTGCATATGTTAGGTCCCATTCAATAACCATGCCACTGAAGACACTGATAGCTGTGAGTTGCTCTGTGAAAAACATTTTCCAGCCTACAATTCTCAACCGCTCTTGGGAGAGTTTGCTTGCCCATGAGCTCTCTATGAGGAGTTCTTTTCAAAACAGTATCCCTCCGTCAGCAAAGTATGGTGGGCGACACACTGTGACCATGATTCCTGGGGATGGCATTGGTCCTGAGCTTATGTTTCAAGTCAAGAATGTCTTCCGATATGCAAGTGTGCCTGTGGACTTTGAGGAGGTGAAGATTAACTCCAGTTCTTCAGAAGCAGATCTTCATAATGCCATCATGTCAGTCCGTCGAAACCGTGTGGCCATAAAGGGCAACATTGAAACTGACCACAACTTGCCCCCATCTCACAAATCCTGCAATAACATCTTTCGCACCAGCCTCGATCTCTATGCCAATGTCATCCATTTTAAGAATATGCCAGGTGTGGAGACCTGGCACAAGAATATAGATATCATAGTTGTTCGGGAAAATACAGAGGGAGAATACAGCAACCTGGAGCATGAGAGCGTGAAGGGAGTGATAGAGAGCCTAAAGATCATCACCAAGGTCAAGTGCATGCGCATTGCCAACTATGCCTTTGAACTTGCCCAGAAGATGGGGCGCAAGAAAGTGACAGCTGTGCACAAGGCCAACATCATGAAACTAGGAGATGGTCTCTTCCTCCAGTGCTGTCAGGAGGTAGCATCCTGCTATCCTCAGCTCACCTTTGAATGCATGACTGTGGATAACACCACCATGCAGCTGGTATCCCAGCCCCAGCAGTTTGATGTCATGGTGATGCCCAATCTTTATGGCAATATTATCAACAATGTCTGTGTAGGGTTGATTGGGGGAGCAGGACTTGTGCCTGGTGCCACTTATGGCCACCTATATGCGGTTTTTGAAACAGCTGCAAGACAGTCGGGCAAGAATATAGCCAATAAAAACATTGCCAATCCTACTGCCATGCTGCTGGCAAGTTGCATTATGCTGGATTACCTCAAGCTCCAGACCTATGCCACCACCATTCGGACTGCAGTCTTGGCTTCCTTGAAGAAGAAAGAGACCAGTACCCCAGACATTGGAGGCCACGGCAACACACAGAACATCATTCAAAATGTCATCAGGCGCATCAGCACTGCCAAGTAAACGGTCAGCCCTTTGGAGGCTATGCTATCTTCCAAGTCTTTCCTACTTTACTCTACCTCACACTACCTACTCGGAAACACCTGCCAGCTGCGCTTGAGTAGATTCCAGAATAAATGGGTGCCTGCCCCAAGTAAGAAGTATATGGATTTGTGGGGTAGGGAAGTACTAAATCAACTGATTTTTTAAGAAAATAAATTGTTTAAATGCCATTTTACTGTTTATTTATATTAACCAGACCTATTGTGTTGCAAGTATATTGGGGAATCATTCACTTTCTGTTTTAATCTGCAGTTTGCACTTCTCTATGATACATGGAATAAATGAGTGCTGTGTGTAGAGTCCCGGGGCTTTCCTAGAACCTGACACATTGATTTTCTCTTTTGCTGGGTCATTAAAATTCAGCAAATCAGTCTGCAGATAAGTCTGGCTACTCTCTAGAGGTTGTTAATGAGTTAATTAGTGCAATGAAATTTGCCTACAAAATATACATAATAACTTTAATAATAAATAAGGTACTGTAAAGATGAGCTAGTACAGAATGCTTTTACTTCCTCCTAGCTATCCTATCTTTCCCACGGTCTTGCTTAGGTTAGGAAAGAATTTTGGCCTCATTTTTCACACATGGCTATTCTTGGTCACTGAAGGCCCCCTCAAAGGAAATTCTTGAGCTCCTTCCAATTGGACTCAAAGTTCTAGAGGTCAGGGCCCCACAATTCTTTCTACACTTGGGCTCTAAACCCAGTCTTAACAGCCTTTACCTGAATTCTCAGTTCTCTAGTATATAATTTTCTTTTTTTACTTTTAATCTTACAGAGTACACATTGAAAAAAGAGCACTGACTCAAATGTTTGTCATCATTATTTTTATGACAATTCTAAGATCATAGTATAAAGACACACAAGCCAAAATTATTTTATTAATGCTTAAAAATTAATTACTTGAGTAGGAAATAAAATAAGCACTGGAGATTTTTTATAGTAGGTTTATTGCTATTAATGACCTGTGGATACTGAGATTGAGAAAAACATTGACTTCCTAATAATGTTTTGGAAATACCCGCCTCAGCTAATGTCTGTGGGTTCTCCATAATTCATGCAGCTTAAGTTGAAGATATTTGACTTAAACCTATAAAGCCCCTTAGTTTCCAAAAGGCCATGACTTATATTCCTGAGCTCAGCTATTTTCATTAATAGAAGTCAGGGCCAGAGTTTGAAAATTTAAAGATATGATTGAAAAGTAGTCATCCCCTCTCAAACAATCTAGAAAAGTTATTCCCCTTTACTGGACAATTGTGGGGCCCTGACATTTGCCAGAGCTGCCACTGGACCATACAGGCCCATATGGTGCTTTCCTGTGGACAGGTGTAGACCTATGTGCTCCAGAAATATGCTGTGCTAAGTCGAACCAGAGCTGGGTGTTATTTGAAATATTCTACTTAAGATGCTGCACTGCCCCATCTACCTTAATTCACTCTACCCACTCTGTACTTCTGTTCTCCCCTGGGGAAGGGAATTTATTCATGGCACAGTCACCCCACCTGCAGACAGTCACTCAGTTATAGGCTTCTATTTGATGGTTGAAGTGTGTGTTGATAGATATATCCTCCTGGCTAAGATGGTCATCTCCAGAATTCCCCCTCAGTTCTTGGACCAGACTATTGTGATGACAACTAGTATGTCATGGTAGAACATACCATTTCTCAGTGTTGGATGTAACTATGAGTGTTTTCAGGACAAATACCATGTATTTTTCCCTTGTATTTTATAACCACTAACACATTGACTGATACATACAAAATAAGCAAAAAGTAATGTTATATATGTTTATTGAATGAACGAAAATTAAGTAATATGGCTAATAATGCTTCACATTTCTTATGTGTAAAGTGAGATTACTGTACCTACTTCCTGGTCATTGGGAAGATTGAATGAGTAAATACACATAAAGTATTATGCTTGACACATGGTAAATGCTTGTTGTGGTTTAGAAATTGTTAGCTTTCTCATAACCATTACATACAAGTCTAAACACTAATTCTATGGAAAACTGAATGAATTATATTAATTATATTTTTCTGGCTTTATAACTGACTTAAGGGGAACAAATCATATCTGCTTCTTCACCAAGTCCCCAAATCTCATTTCTTGAATCCAGCCACCCTCTCTCACTGACACCTCATTAGCCTTTCTCATCATTAGTGACCTCCTGAGTTGTTACTACAAATAGAGCATCCTATGTCATGTTCTGCCTATAATTTATCCCCCTTGATTTCTGTTCTCCACATGATTGTACTCCATGTGATCTTTCATTTTTTTAAATTATCTATTTATATATATAAGAGGAGCCTGGGGATGAGAAGATCCAACAGAGGCAGATGAGAAGCAGAAAAGGCATAAATACTGCAATACACTACTGAGAGGAGCAGCAGGCGAGACAGGCAAGTTTTGCTGCACCATGTGGGTCAGCTCTCTGGCTGGAGATAGAACTTGTCTTGCAGTGGCTACTAGCAGCTTCATAGTGCTGAGACTTAACCATCACATCACCAGAAAGGCTCCAGTTCCACATGATCATTCTGAGAGGAAAGTAGGATCATGATACTTCCTTCCTTAAAATTCCTCGTTCAGAGGTTTACATTTGGCCTAAAGTCTACAGAGTATAGTATCAAACACCTCCCCTGTTCTGATCTCTGCTTCCTTCCGCAGACTCACCATTTCTATATTTTCTCCTCAAGGCCAGCACAATGTGGCACTTCTAAGAGAGTACGAACCAAATTCACTGTTAAACGACCTTCTGCTTTTTTTAGATTAGGCCTTTGTATGTGACCTTGGTTTCTCTCACCTTCAAGATGTGAACATGATCTACTTTTCATCCTAAGATCTGCACTTAAAATATCACCACCTTTGGGCACCTTCCTTGACTAACTTTCCTCCCCTTCCTTTCTGTGTTTGAGGGACTGAGTTTCCCAGCTTCCCCTGAGTTCCTTGCACATTCTTCCTAGTGTCCATCTCTCTGGTTGTCACCTTAACCTCACTCTCCAATGCATTCCTTGGCAACGGGAGTGAGAGCAATTTGCCACTGTACCATCAGAACCTAGTACAGAAATAAGCTCTTAGTTTATGCCTATTCTGTTTATAGAAGGAAAGTAGAGAAGTGAAAAAGGGAAAATGGCTGTATTCACAGGTGGAAGAACAGAACCTATTGTAAATGTTCTCATCTGGCTTTAGTCTTTGAACATTTCTTTACAAACTTGCTTCTCTTTAAGGAACACTAATGCCCTCAAGTCAGTAAAAATAGGTGGTTGGCTGCTTCTGTTTCTTGAGATTTATGTACTATAAATGTTGGATAGCTTTGGCTTACATTTTATCATGTTATTCTGTATTGTTTAAAATACTGATGCACAGATAATAAATTATCTGATCTTTTTCTCCTCATCAGTCCCTCAGCTTGCATTCCTTACATTCATCTCAATTCTTCCACTTTGGAGCTGTGTCACACTGGGTAAATTGCTTAACATTTCTGTTTTCTAATTTGCTCACCTATGACATAAAGGTAAATACTTTGGCAGGATTGTTGTAAAAACATAATTTTGTTACCTGTCACTGCATGACAAACTACTTTAGTAATTAGAGGTTTAAGAGAAGAGATTATTTTGCCATGAGTCTGTAGATGAACCAGATGATGCTTCATTTATTTAGTGGGAGAGCAGCTGTGGCAGAAGAGTCCAGCATGCCTCATTTATACAGCTGCCAGTTGGTGCTGATGGCTAGCTATCGTGGGTTGAAATTTCCATCTCCTGGTGCTCTCATAGGGAGACAGCAGGGTACCTGGGTTCCAAGGAATGTTTAAAGAAGTAAAGATCACAGCTGAGGTGCTCTTAACGTCCAGCCTTAGAAATTAATCAATATGGTTTCTACTATATTCTTCTGGTAAAAATAGGCAAGAGGGGGCAGATGATTTTCAAGGACAAAGAAAATAAACTTTACCTCCTGATAGAAGAGTGCCAAGATCTAAATACAAAGGGGCACAAGAATAGGAAATGTTTTTTGAGATATTATCAACCAAAGAGATAATGGTGAAAAGAACTCTTACCATAGCTCCTGTCATGTGGGCATTGCTTCATCAGTGACAACTGTTATTACTCTTATCTTTTTTCCCTTTCCATCTTATCTCAATTCATTCTCTGTCAATTTTGCATCCATAATGCATCCTGTGTTGCTTTTTTTCCCATTTCATCTACATTTATCCATTCTCAAGGATATATTAAAAATGTTGCCTAATATGAAATTTTTATCAATACAAAGATGGATAACTTGACAGTATTACTCTGTAAATATCTCTTTCCACTTCCATATTCAGAAACTTGCTTTTATAAAAATAATACTTTATGAATTTTTCTCTTTTCATTATATTTTATCATTTGATGTTTACTTTCTTTATTTAATTTTCTTACATTTTGTCTTAATGAAAACTCTTAAATCAGAAATTAAGAAACAAAAGAAAAAAAATGGGTCCTCATATTCCTTTCTTTCATTCCAGACCGTTTCAACTTTGATGTCAGATAAATCTCTTTAAAGAAATATTTGGATAGTTATTACTGTGTTCAATCTCCTTGAAAATCACTCTCAATTTTGAATATATTCAGGGTCCTCTACAGTTTTAACCAATATGGTCTTTACTTTCATAGAGGTTCTGAGTTTCTTAAGTCATATTTCAGCCTAGTGGATACCCTCATATATCTAGGTTGTATGTTTTCTTACTCATCTACCATTTAATTCAATTCCTCTCATTTGGGTCATTCCCAATTTGGTTTACCACTGCTCAAGGCCTAATTCAAATGAAACCACACCTGGTTATTGTCATCCTGATACACTTCCTCTCTGAGCTCACATAAACTTTTTATTGGACTTTAAACTCCATCATTTGACATCCGTTCTTGGGTTAATTGTGCACCTACTTGACTTGAGCCTTAATAGTTCATCTGCTCTTTGAGTATAGGGACA